TTCAAGAACGCTCGTCCTCTTGAGGCTGAGCTGAAGCCTATCCCCACTGAATCTTGGCGAGAGGCAGGGTACACTTCAAGACTGGTAGCCAGCCAATCGCAGGAGAGGCAAACCAACTGGTTTAGAGGTAAAGATGGAACAACAGAAGGAGGAAAACAGAGTCAGAGGGTGAGAGAGGGTGCAGTCCTTTCGCAGCCAGGCCCTGGGCAAGAAACAGTGCAAGGCCTGAGCCACTCTGATCAGAGTGCATTCAGATGATAAAGCCTATAAATAGAAATATTAAAGTGGGAGAGGGATAAAGGTTTTCCCTCTCAAATATTGCAAAAGATTGCTTAGACTTCTGCAACCTTTTCAGAAAATTACCACTGAATTGGAACTCCTTTGATCGCTTACAAAAATCCCAAAATGGGAAATTTGTTGATAAAAACAATCATCCATGATCATCAACCATGATTAGAATTCAAAAATAACAACCTTTATCATGTACTTTCTTTTCAATTTCCGGTTCTCTCCACTTTACTTCCTAATTTGCCTGTTAGGTGACGATTTTATTTTCGCTTAGCAATTAGCATGGCTTCTCTGTTTTTCTTCTTCATCCGTAAGAATGATACTTAAAAAATTTGCTTATTTGCTACCATGGAGGCGATGATGACTGACTTTGTTGAAGTGTTTAGCCGCACTAGCGAGGCAGCTAAAGCTCATTGCCAGCTAGCTGCTGCGACGTATCATCGAGCTTCCCTCAACTTCCGACACCCCGCACGTGGGTAATGGGAGCCCATTGCTCCACGTTAATGTGTCTGAGTCCAGCCCAGCCAAGCTTTTGGGGACCATCTTGGTGGTTGGTTCTGAGTTATGGTGGTAAGAATGTTTTGATGAGGCGTGAAATTCTCATCTTGACTCACAAGCTGCGATGCGAAACTGCCTATTTTAAGCCTTGTCTTTATCAGTCGGAAAAACGCTTGCTTCTAAATGGATCATTTCTTCTACTCAGGAAATGTTGTGACTCTTAAAAAGTGAAACTGAGTTGAATACAGTATAGCATAAATTGCCATAGCACGAATATATACCGTCGTGAAACACAAACAAAAAGTGGAATAAATATGCCTCCAAAGTAAATGTTAGCATGTTAGCATTGCATTAACTATGCAAGATGAAATATCAGCATACGTGTCATGAGTGTTTGGTTTTATTTATGTTTGCAGTTGTTAATTTCATTTGAAAATTCTGTGGCAATTAAAGATATGAAAATAGTGAGTTGTGTGAGACACATCAACAACATGAATCACAGTGTGCTGTTGTTCATCCACCCATCTATTTTCTGTGCCATTCATCCTATTCTGGGTTGAAGGGAGTTGGAGCAGGCAAATTACACCCTGGACTGGTCACCACTCAATCACAGGATAGATATAGACCAGTGATTCTCAATGGATGTGCCGCGCCCCAAAGCCGTTTACGATCATCTTTCAATCTGTTGGCCTCGAACTGACCGTGATTTTGTTGCCGTTACGGATGACTGTCGAAATCATTGACTTTGCCAATTCGTAGTCACGGCTAAGCTTCGTCTGGGAGACTTACTTTCGAAAGTGAGGGGCAATTTTATCCTTCACAGACAGCGAGATATGCTTCCGTTTACCAGAATGTTTTCATACGCTGTACTCAGGACCGCGCCGTGTCCCCGGGAGTACAACAATGTACGAGTCGATTAGTAGTGTTGCTAAGCAACGGAGGGGAATACCGCACTGCATATTTTCGTCCATAAGCAGGGTCGCGGTGGCTGTTAGCTTCCCACGGTTTATCGTAACGAAGGCCTTTTCACAATTTATGTGGGAAAAATCTGGTCGTTATAATGAAGTTTAAAGTTATAAAGGTGTCCATCCATCCATCCATCCATCCATCCATTCATTTTCCGATCCGCTTATCCTCATAAGCAAAATCAGCAACTCTGAAATGTGAATGTTATAAGGCTAAAAACATACATGGGTACATTGTAATGATGTTCGACTGTACTGGTACCAATGGTGGTACTCGGACTCACTAAAAGGGTACTTGAAAGAATCACTGCCCAAGTACAGTTCAGTAGTATTTAACTTTTGAGTACGGTTTTCCTATGTTTAGGCAGAGTCTTAGACTGTATTCAAACTGTGCATAATGTTACAGTGACTTCCATAGTTAATTATTTACATAAACACTTGGACCTGCTACACGACGGTATTTTAATGTTGGTCATTATTGTCCGGCAAGTCAACCACTACACTATCAGTGACTCTATCAATAAAAAAAATACATAATGAATTCAATATAATTTGAATGGGAAGTTTGTGAAAAGTTCTGACTGAAGAACGAAAAGTGGAGGTCTCTTGTCAACCCTTGCGTGTCTGCTCGATCAGCACTTACTGACCACAAAAACACACTTGGCAATGGCTTCCACGGGGACTGAGATAATCATCAAAGTGTGTCTTCACCTAACTTCAGCACATGTAGCGCATCTTGAAAAGAAGAAATCCAGTTTCAACAAAAAAGAGGAGTGGTTGGCAAAAAAAAAAAAAAAAGTTAACTCAAACAAGATGATGACTGCTTGCTTACATAAACAATCCACGCGGGTTTCGATGCCGGCAACACTCGATTACGCTGAGGTCAGCCTAGTGCAAGACCTGGGAGGACCCGCGCCTCGCGTGACACTGTGAACCTGTGGCCTCCCGCAATCTTAGATGAGCAAGGCATGTACAGAGTTCAACGACACACTGCGCCCACGTCACTGCATATGTGCGCCTTTGATAAGAGACGGGTTGTGCGTTGCATAACTTGTCTATAATTACGGCTGGAATAGCGTTTGACATGCAGGGCAAACAAATCATCTGGTTTGACAACTTGAAGCGCAATGAGTTTGGCAGATGTGCGCATATGCGTATGAGTTTCTCTGTTGCTGTGAGGCTCGGTTAAAGCTGAGTACACACATATTGACAATCAGGGCGAATTGGAGCACTTTTTCTCCCTTGCATTCAAAGTCAGCAAAAGCCAAGTTATTCAACGTCTCTCCAAGATTATCCTGAGTGATTGTCCTGTGGTATGTGATGTTTTAAGAACGGTTTGTGTTCCAGATCTACTTGGAAAATGGTTTGGGCAGACAATCGTGAATGCTAAACCTGTTCAAAATTTACGATCACAAATCCTGATGGATGTTGTCGACTGATTGTGATTGTGACGTGGAACTGAACGATCGTCTATTACCTGAATTGTTGAGCTACAAGAATGAAGTTTTTTTTTTGTTTGTTTGTTGAGTGCATAAAGTGTCGCACAAGCCCTTCACCCAAAAACTCAATTTGAAGAAATCCCAATTGCAATGTCTTTCACGGGGAAAAAAATCGTCCTGTTGTAATCACTACTTTATCATGCTAGCCAATAATAATAAGATACACTACTCACCCGGAGCTTAGATGATGTGCTAAATACAATGTGTGACGATACAAGTGGCCTAAGACACATTTTTTGAACTCGGCAAATAACTACAAAGATTTATCACATGATTTCACACTTGACTGTTGGGAAGCCACTCCAGATTCCCAACTGTGTGTATACAAGCACATAAAAAGCCATATTTCCATAGTAGTGGTCTCCTTTAGGGTTAATACTATTACATCATCATAAATGCAGCTATATGTCATGTAGAAGACAGGCGCTGCATAGTTGCATAATGTGACCTATTTCTGAAATTCTGTACATTGAGTACAACGCAAATGACGGTGGGCCAAAAATGTCAGAGCCATGATAAAGAGACGCGGTTAACATTTGCACACCTCTCATGTTCACATTTATCAAGATTAACAACATGCAATTATCCCTGGCGTCTGAACAGTCTGGACAAAAAGCCTAAAGCTACAATCTAAAAATATGTGGTCCTAATTTGTTTTTTCTTGATCACTTTACATGAAGCGCTGAGATTCTCTGAGACAGTACATCAACAATGTGAAGCACCGCAAGCATCTGCCGCCCAGAGCGACCCACATTCAAACAAGCTCTCGTGCTGAGATGTTCCTACTCTTTCAATAATCTGGGGGGGGGGGGGGATGTGTCATTTGTGAAAATTCCCACCATTCTTCTGCATGCTTGTGACACAGCTGAGGCTTTTGCACACATGATGTGAGCTGCAATCCAAACTAGACAAAAACATTGCCCTCGGCTTACAGTGGCTCCTGACCTCTTTATTATTTTGAGACCTAAATCAACCAAGCATCCGAAAATAAAAATGCAATGTCATCTGGAGTTATTTTCCACATTAACCCCCCCCCCCCGCCCCCAAAACATCCAAACAAACATAAAAAAAACACAATTTGTTTGTGGATACATTTCAAGCAATCATCCAATGCTATTCTTGAAATTTACAGTGCAGTCAATTAAAAAACATTCTGCCAGGACCAGGAGTGAGCGACACAGTGAACTATTCTGCATCTTGCCATTTTCATTGTACAGTATTTCCAAGGCATCAAGCAAAATAACAATTCATGCTTTTCATTCAGCTCACAGCACTCATAAAGACCACAGCTCCAATTTCCACTGGCCTCACACAAAATATTCAAAATAACATGGGCTGGAAATGAATAAACTATTCCCTCTAACACTCCACCTTACTACACACACTGAAAAGATTGAATTTTATTCATATTTTTTGAAACTTTTCGGCCTATACAGTTACTTCCGGTCTAAAGTCAAGCGCAAACTCCTGAGAAGTTTGGTAACCAAAACAACGGTGGCCAGTTCAGCCGTGAGAAACGCCCATATGAGTGCTTCTAACCAATCATGTGTTGCTTATGTATACGTCACACCAACCATGTGGAAGAAGGCGGGCTGTTGCTAGGGTATGTCCCCGGTTACTTTAAACGGTGTCGAGCCAATCAGATTCCATGCTAACACTTTCCTCTCGCTCACTGGTTGAAATCGAGACTAAAAAGCCCGCCTTAGCTCTTTCCCAATTGGACAAGAATGACATCATTCACTTCACCGAGTTAGTGAGGTGCTGTAGATTGTTGCTACTGTAGTTTGGAGTCGCCAAGACTCAGAACTGTTAATACCCTCGTACACACACCGGACTGAAACATTTTTTTGGGGTTAACATTTCCATTCCAACACTTTATGTAAACTTGTGTATTTACTGTCTCCTATTTGTTTTTGAGACAAAAACAAGATGGAACTTAATTCGCTTCTAATTCTGCTGGAGGCTGCAGAGTACTTGGAAAGAAGAGACAGAGGTATTTGAAGCCAAATTGAAGCGATGACAGCAATTATTCACGTTTTAACTGCAACCCGTACGAAGTGCTGACTTGTGTAGCGGCTAATGCTCGGCACTAAAATGAAGTTTGATATGACATTTTGGTGGTACAGGTATGATGTCACTGTGTCTGGACAATAGGACGTGAAGCAAACGATGGGTGCCAACTGGTCCCCGTGTAGTTTTGTTGTTGTTGTTGCTTTTTTTTTAAATGGACATGTACTTGATAGATATAAGCATTTTTCCCTCTATGCTTAGAAACTCCGGGTATTATGTGTTGCAGAGTGCTGTTATTTTGGAGGAGAAATGGGTAAACAACAGTGACATCAGCTTGTAACATCATGACAGATGCAAAAATGACGGGGCGTTTGTGTGTGCGTGTGTTTGTGTTTCAGCAAGACAATATCACGACTCATTGACAGCTCACGTATTTACTCTATTCTGCATCACTTTTGCAAAAAAAAAAAAAAAAGCACGCTTGTATTTGTTTGTGTCTACAGAGGCAGAACACGGATATGCCTCGGTTTTACCGTACAGTAGCGACTACTCCGGGAAGAAGACGAAAAGCTCAACAATAAGCAGAAAAAGTCCGAACAATAGGTACATCTAAGCACTCCTCTTCTTCTGTGTTTTTCTTTTTGTCCTCCTTCTTCTTCGCATGTCGGTGTGAGTGCTGCTGCTGCAAGCCGGGGGGAGGAGGAGGGGAGGAGTCGCTGTTTTCCTGCACACTGCCATCTCTCTGCTGCCTGGGGCTGGGCTGGGCTCTCTGTTTTGGTTTCTAATAAACACTGCCACGCGTACACTGTCAACTCTAAATGGGCTAAAAGGCTCTCTGCAGCCCCCTTCTTTTTAGGCACCCATACGCACACACCTACCCCTGCATGCAGAGGACCTGCAATCCTTTAATTTCCGCACCTCTCCCTTCACGTGGGTTTCTACTGTATGTGCAGGCTGAATTCAAGTACTGTACAGTCCTTTGGAGGTTTGGGGGGGGGGGGTGCGAATTTGGAGATTGGAGGTTCCGGTAGGGACTCCTGTCCTCCCTTGATGCTGATTGTGCACTTGGTGCCTCTAAAATAGATAATAAATCACCCCACATCAAAATTCCCATATATCCATATGTGCTCCAAAATTTACATACTTCTGTAGAATTGTGAAATATTGACACTTTTTTGATAAGATTATTGTATTTTGCCGGACCACTTGGGTTATCTTTAAATAATGGTGCACATCTCTCAAATTCTGTCAGGGTGTGTCACTTATTAGAACAACTGTATGTGCATTTTAATAACATGCATGCTCGGTTCACTGAAGACTCTTAAGTTGTCCATGAGAATGTGAGAGTGAATGGTTGTTTGTCTATAGTTGTCCTGTGATTGGTCGGCGACCCATCCGCGGTGTACCTCACTGCTCACCTGACGGCAGCTGGCATACGTTGAGGATTAACTGTATAGAAAGTGGATTGGCGGAGAATTATAATGCAATGCTTCTACAAAAATATTTAATGATTTTGCATGCCGTCGCTTGGGCTTGTGTGGGTTTCCTCCAATTACTCCGACTTGTTGACACGTTCCAAAATCATGCTTGTTAGTGTTTTTGAAGACTCTAACTTGCTCATAGGTGTGAATGTGACTGTGAATGGTTGTTGGTCTGCTTGTTTATGCCTTCTCTCACCCAAAGTCAGCTAGGATGTGCTTTTTTGTTTGTATTTCATTTATTGTTGTTATTTATAGTATTTGTGCTTTTAATATTGGCATTTAGCATTCTCTCGTCACCCTGTGTCAAAGCATGCATGCACACAACTCTACTGTTGCACTCGGAGGAGTGTAGTTTCGTCCACCTGAACCCGCTAGCTTCGTCTTACAATCTATGCTCTTCCACATTCCTCTGGGACTGTCTAACAACATAGCACAATTATGTGCGCAGCTGGGTGAGGGGCATGCATGGCGAAGTGGCAGGTGGGTGTGGTGGCTGAAACAGACACCTACCTACGCACTTGGTAGCAAACACCAGCCCACTCGTCCCTCGCCAATGTGAAAGGGAAACACGAAAAACTAAAATTCAATTTTGGGATGTCATTCTGATCTGTGAAATACGTATAAGCTGCAGCAATATCCCACCTTTGTTGGGTTCTGTGTAACACAGATCAATTCCAGATCTTCTATCAAGGCTCTGATGCTGCAATTGTGTAGGATCGCTGCGCAAGAGGCTATTGTTCCTCATAATGCAATGATGACAAAATCATACCTCCATCTCGGTCGCACCGGTTGTGGAATCAAAACCAGAAATGCCTGACATGAAAAAAATGGGGGCTGACTGAGCTAAGTTTATGACAGCAGTTCACTTGTCCATTTGCAACCAATTCTTTTTTTACATAAAATGTCGCACTATCTGTGTATTAACCTTTCAAGGCATGTGTGAGTGATGGGACTTGCCCATGACTTTAAAGAGGAAGTCAAGTAAAAAGAAAAATTTACAATAATATGTTTTATGCGGATCCACTAGCCATAACACTGTATTCGGAGGCGTGATTGGTCAATACCTGAGCCCTGATCAACTGTGATGTCATTTTCAGTCGACAGCAAGTGTCAAAATGGCCGCCCCCTGAGATGGATGAAAACAGCTGGATATTGCTGCTTAATTCATATCCCACAAACATAATATTCATCCAAATCGCGTGTTTAGACGAGTGGAGCCGCTCAGAACAAGTTTTTGTGAAAAAAAGTGTTTCAGTCGACTTCCCCTTTCAACAGACGACTTTTTCTTCATGTCACCCGCATCCCATGGTGCGTCGCCATACAGATGCCTTTCGCACGACGACACAGCTGTGGGAACCGCTGCTTCGCCAGAACAAGGGCCCTCAAACCGTTCGCGAAATGTGAAAGGGCTTGTTGTGTGCCTGCTCCCGCCCCCCCTTCCCACTCCACACTTTTGTTGTCCCTGTTTTTGTTTTTATTGCCACGGTATCCATGACGGCCGCATCAACAAGAGGCCCCGCAGTGTCCTTGCTGTTCCCGGGTCTGCATATCATAACTGGGGGGAGGGGGGGGGTCTCCCCGGAATAACCCTCACGCTGTGGAATTCTGCAGCGTCTAGGCCTCCAGACGTCTGAGGGGCGTGTTGTTATCCACACTGCTGTACGATCAGCATGCATGCCATTTGTTGGTGTGGGCAAGGCGGGGGTGTCCTGAAATGACTTTTTTTTTTTTGGACACATGCCACATCAGACTGAACTATGATACTCTTGTCTTCACCAAGCTTGCATTTTGTTGCAAGAGTGTGAGGAGTGGTTTTACTCATATTTGAATTGGGTCCACTTACAAATTGAGTGGGACGTGGATGCATTTCTGTTATATAAGAAAGTCAATTGGAAGCAAAGTAGCGGCTCAGTTTTCCAAACTCACTTCACTTGTGATGACTTTTAGAGTCTTTGGGTCAGATGATCAACAAAATATTCAAGGAAGCCTTTTATGTTGACGGGTGGTGTCTTCTCTATGGTGCTTAACAGGAACAGCAATGGCCAAACATAAAGCGTAATCAGTCCAAATTTTCTGCGACTCTGAATTGGTCCATATTGACCATACATAGTGATTTGCCGAGCTAGTGCGGAATCAATTCCCAATCAATGTCTTTTTCAGAGTCACACTGTGACTGACTGACTTCAGTTCAGGGTGTAGTCTGCCAAAACATGCACATCGTATTTTGAGACTCATCTTCATCTTTTGTCTGTTTTCTTTCAGATCGTCACACAATGAGCTGGAGAAACACAGGTAAGGCTGCATTTCAGGTTCGACTGTGTTGTGTGTTTGTGTGCACGTGTGTGTGTGTGTGCGTGCATGTCTCTTCAGCCAACAGTTGCAAGTTCCACGCACTCCAGGAGAGTAGATTGCTGCAGGTGCCACAGATGTCTTCTTCAAAGAGCAGGAGATTGAATCAATTCCATTTTTTTTTCGTGAAGCAGAAAAACAAACAGATCATACGTTCTCAAACAGTTGGCTGTCATACTGATAAGATATGTCTTGGTTTCACTTCCTTGTATGGAAATACAGGTAATCCTGTAATGAGTGTAAATCGAAATGCTGCTCCATTGAAGAGAAAAATGAAGTCATGAAATTGCCTCTATTAGTGCTGCTTTTTTTCTTTTGCGTCAAGGTCAACCCCGAGCTGCTTTCATTGACTCTTAAGAAAAAAAAAAGCCTGGCCAAGAGGATTTAGGAAACAGCTGATGTGACTATCAGCATGTGAGCCGAGGTAGCAATGGGTGTGTGAGGTCGAGTGTTTGTACGCGTATGTGAAACACAGTCATCCACGTTGAAGGATTAGTAAGTCACATGTCTGTGAATGGACGTGCTGAACGGAGGAGAACATGCATGGGCATATTCCACCTTGAGACAAGACGGAGAAGTGTGATTACGCTGCAGATGTTGAGACACAAGAGTTACCTCATGTCCGACCGCGGGTGTGGTTATGGACAAAAGCTGTATGACGTCCACACGCAAGCCAACGCATACCAGTAATACCCCCTTGAAGCATTTTCCTTATCGTCATTATCGCTCTGATGACACATACACATCGGTATGATTAAAATGTTATTTTTATGCCCGCTACAGAGTCCAAAACAAAGTTCAAAGTCCGTAGAGTATTAAGGACATGCCAAAGTAACAGGTGGCACTATAGCAGCAAACTGAAATGACCAGTCAGAGGCACTTAGGAATGTGTAGACCTTCGCCAAGGTGAAGAAAATATTTTTTTTTCTTCAGGTGTTTGTGAAAAGGTTATGTTGTACTTTTTGCGTAATTTTGCGAAATAACTAAGAAACATACCAAAAAAATGGTAATCGGTCTCACCTGCAAAACAAGCCTGTATTTTGCCAGTCAACATACTCAGTAAAAATGAAATAGCTTTAGCCGCCCCCCCCCCAAAAAAGACTAAAAATGTGTTTCATTTTAAATTTCCTTCTGCCTCTGTATTTTTCTTCACATCAAGAGCATTAGGAGAGGAAGTCCTGTCCAAATACTTCCTAACGCTCTTCATCCAACTGTCTGTAGATGTAGCCTCAGACAACAGTGGCCAACATGCAGGCAGAAAATGAAATCAAGCCCAATTATTTGACTGGACAGCTGTAAAAGCCTGTGTTGCATTGGAAGCATTATTGACCTGATTATTGCATGATTCAGTTTAGCACCCGCAGCGGCTCCTCTTGTTGTCTGTTGTCTTTTTAAGAGGGAGGAAATGTCATCGCATTTGACAATAAAGTTGTACTTGACTTGATTTGACTTGATATATATATAAAAATAAAAATACCTTTGAAGCAACAATGACTCAAACAAAGAAGAATGAGTCTTTGATGAGTCTCGCAGATAATAAAACAAATCAACGTAGAGCCTCAGTCGATGTTATCAGTCAGTTGTTGATTCATAAACATATTGTAAGACGTCAGCTTTCCTGCTCAACCAGCTCCATAAGTATTTGGCCACCCGAGATTAATCTGCTGCCGGGCCGGTATCGTTTCCAAATAAAACCTCAATCGCCTGCCCCTCACGCCTTCGGATGCACTCCAGGGTGGCGTTACTATTTGAGTCCTGACTCACCGCCTTTGTTCGGTCAAATTGAGGTATCCTTGTACTCGACGTTCACGTGGTTGGCAAGGTGACAACTGGAGATCGACTTGACATGCCACAAGGCAGTAGTGGTAGTAGTGATTCAATGCCCAAATGCATGCTCGGTTAATTAAAGACTTTAATTTGTTTGTAGGCGTGAATGTGAGTGTGATTGCTTGTTGGTCCTCATGTGCCCTGCAGTTGGCTAGTGACCAATCGAGGGCGTACTCTGCCTCTCACCCAAAGCCACGCTGTGATAGGCTCTGGTTAACCATGACCCGAGATGAGGACACGCGGTATAGAAAATGAATGGTCGGATGGCTGCATGGATGGATCCAGGAAGTGAGCGTCCAAAGGAAGATGATAAGCTAAATTTGAATTGTTGGGGGATTTTGTCCATTTTGCCATGAGCATGTGACATTTTTATTTGCTTTCCCATGATACAATTTTGGAAAATAGCTGTCCTTTCAGTTTTAACCTGTCATTCATCTTAAATGTAGGATACATTTTTAACAGAACAATCATTCAACTGAAAGCACTCCTTGAAGATTTTATGCTAGCGGAGGTGTGGTTTTTTTTTTCCCCCCTCTCAAAGGTGCTTCTGCAAATATTTTCTTGACATTATTAATAGCAAACTGGCTGGCTCTCACCAAGCTGTCTGCTGTTTAAGAGGCGGGCTGCTTGTATTTATGTCCTGTTATCTGGGTGGGTGCCAGCAGCGTCCGACAGGGCCCTGTGTCCTGATGCGACCTGCTTATCTGCTGCAGCCCGAGTGCAGCTGTGATGCTCTCGCTTTCGACTCTCTCATCGGTGACTTTGCTGCTGCTTTTTTTTTTTTTGGAACAGGCCTGCATGAGCAAGAACTTACATATTGCTGTGAAACCAAAATGCCATGTGGCTTGTCTCTACTGGTTGGCTTCCTTCCTATTTCTGACTTGGGCTGACAATTCGTCCTCCCTGCATGCTTCCTTTTTTTTTTTTTTTTTTTCTTGTGACATCAAGACACGGTGAAGTTGCAGAGGTTGTTTTCCAACATGTCACCTGTTTACTGGAAATGTGAGTCCACTCGCGTGCGGCTGAAGGTCTGCTTTGTTTGTGCATGCTTCCCTCAATTGACTCTCGGATTTACGCCTTTATTTTTATCGCCGCCCATGTTTGCTCTTGGTTTCATTTCTCACAGCGCACATGACAAGCGGGATGTCCAAAGTTTGTCCAGCAAGTTTCATTATCCTCTGGGTATACAGTCGAGCCTTTTAAAGGTTGAACCTAATCCGTGACAGGACGCTGGTTGACCTGAAGCTGTTCTCATGTCATACCATCATATATTACTCCTATCTTATCTAACTATAAAAGGCATAAATCTGTAACAAAGTTAACCTCAGTTATATTGATACTGTATGGTAAGCACTCGTTAAACGCTCTTTGAATTTAAATGAGTAATCTTGTGATTTGAAATGAATTGTAACACCAATGTAAGATAAAACGTTAAAACAATAAAGCACTCTAAATTTGACATTGGGAAACTCCATTGGGACTGGTTGGATTTCTCCTCTCGCGCCTCAAAAACTGTAAGAAAAATGAAAACATGCACGTAATGTTTTCTGTGGTATGCTAACATCTCACATGACAATCGCCACTCAAGTGTAGTATCTCTTTCAACGTGTACTTTAAACCAATGTTTTTTATTTGGGTCGCATCACGCTTCACGCATGTCTGACCCCCCCCCAAAAAAAAACAACGCTCGCTGGCGGCACCTCCTCCAGCTCTTGTTTTTTTTTTTTTTTTTTTTTTTTTTTTTAAACCAGCTGCTTAAAAAGACGGTGTGTCCATGTCAAATAGTCACTGACCCTCCCTGCTTTCCCGACTGCTCAGGAACCTGTTGGGAAATGCTAAGCGCTAAGCAAATTTGAGCCACGTGCTGGCTAGCTAGTGCAGTTAAAGCCTGCCCTTCCAGGGTACGAAGCCTTCTCTTCCTCTAAATCACGAATCCTTGCTTCCGTGGCAACAAATAAGATGCACTTGTGATAAGTATCATTATCATGAAAGGAGGACAAGGAATAGCGAATCATGTGACACATATGAGAAGACAGAGAAGCCATGCTAACCGCCAAACTATGGCGAAACGGAGAGGCACGTCACATATTAATGAGTGCCTTGGTTGTACAGCACACGTTGAAAAGAAGTCGCCGCATTACAGCGGAGAGTAGTCAAGCATGAACAGTTAATTGGGAGAGAAAATAATCAGTGTCGAGAGAGAAAATAATACCTCAGCTTAGTTAGCAAGCACACATACGACAGCGAACCAGAAGTTAATCGGGAAGATACCTCATACATCAGCCATGAAAAGCTTATATAATCGAAGATATTATAATAATAATAATAATAATCATAAAAATAGTAGATTACATATTTATTCTATGTGCAAGGTTATTTGTGTTTGCAATAATTTGCACGCTAGACTGCTGAGTTTTAATTTTGAGTTTTGAGATCTGTACAATAAATGCTCTCAAAATGACATGAATCTTTGTTTTTTCTTGTTGTTTTAACATTTTTTTTTCTCAATTTAGCTTAGCTAAAGAAATATTCAGAAATACTTTCATTCTAATTTTTACAAGGATGTTAATGTGATTTTGCGATATTTACTGTACCATTAACATGAAGGGATTCACTTCATACCGTGATATAAAAGCGCGAGTTGTGGTCTTTCAATATTTCAACAAATTTTGCATGGCCGGTGGTCCAGTGGTTTGCGCGTCGACCTCACAGTGCAGAGGTAATTCCAGCTGCGGCTTCCCTCTGTGGCGTTTGCATGTTCTCCCCGGGCCTGCGTGGGTTTTCTCCGGGTACTCCGGTTTCCTCCCACATTCCAAAAACATGCATGGCAGGCTGATAGAACACTCTAAATTGTCCCTAGGTGTGAGTATGAGTGTGCATGGTTGTTCGTCTGTGTGTGCAACAGGTTCAGGGTGTCCCCCGCCTACTGCCCGAAGAATGCTGGGATAGGCTACAGCACCCCCGCAACCCTTGTGAGGATAAAGCGGATCAGAAAATGGATGGATGGAGAAATGGATGCTGACTTATCACTTGACATCACTCATGATGCCAGTTTGACCTCCAAGTATTTGTGTGACTTTTAAGGCATCTTTCTCTCCCCCACCCCCATGTATTTT